ATTATTGTATTTTGAATCCCAACAGTGACTATTGGAGATCAATCCTCTTAAATTAGTACTGAAAGGCTTCCATTTTGCTGCTGGGACCCATGAAGTCTGGCAGTTACCATTCCATCTTTTAGAGCAAATAGATACAGGATGCCTCCTGAGGTGGATGAGGGGCCACAGGCTCCCAAGATCTAAAACATGGCTAAGGGTTAGAGAATGGAGACTCGAGAGTGGGAGCCCAGGGCCTTGGGGTGCCTAAGCATCCAGAGAAGCCATCCCCAGAGGTTCCATCCAGGTCCTCAGGCTTCATCTGGGGGCTGGGGTGGGACAGCAAGGAGATGAGAAACCACAGAAGCTGAGAAGGGGGTTGGAGCCTAACCTTAAAGGTGTCACTGTCCCATCGCCTCCCCTCACGCTGCCTCCGCTTTGGGTAAATTTCTGATCAATATCTGCCCTGCGAGCCAGGTCCCAGCTCCATGTGGTGGGGGCCAGTTCTGCCCTTCCTCCAATATTGGGCACACATGAAGGACCAAAATATCAATGAATAAGTGAATGAGCCACTGACTAACTGTGCCCCGGTGCCTGGCCCAGTGCCTTGTGCAAAGTGGATGTTCAGAAAATATTTACTGAGAAAATAAAGCGTTAGTTCTTGGGACAAGTTCTAGCAAGGGTGTGTACCTCGGTGCCACCCAGGCAGGGCTGAGGCCAGAGGGTGGGGCTGTCCACTTCAGGCTGTGACTCAGGACTCAGGTCTCGAGGGACACCTCAACACAAGCCAGCCTCCAATAGCCTGTCTGTGTGTGAGGCTCAGCCCTTGGTCCGGCCAGCCCGGGGCATGGAAGGTAGGGGCACAATCTGTCAGTCAGGACTGCACGGCAGGCCTTCGGATGGAGCGGCTGCACTTAGTGTCCTTTGCTTCCCAGTGAGGATGTCTGTCACCACCCGGATGCCAGCCCAGGCGACCCCAGAAGCAGCTGCTCGTCCTTGAGGGCATCTAAAACGTGAAAGGAAAGGGAGCGCTGACCCTCTCAGTGCAGACAGCCCTCTGAGGATGGAGAGCCACGGTGCCAAGGAGAGCACCTTGAAGTGAAAAAGAAGAGTTTGAGTTGCACTGTGCAACTCCTTTCCGAACACCTGACTATGCAGTCTCAGATGTGTGTGCAGCCTGTCTGACAATCGTTCATGAGTACCACAGACCTGTGGTATACCCACAGTTACAGGATGGATTTACTGGGGCACCAGCCTCCAGATTCAGGGCTCCTCCTCTTCCATGCTGTCCTCCTGGGGGAGTGGAATTTGAGGGTATAATGGTTGACTCCTTTTTGGTAGAGAATAAAGTCAGGAGAGGTAGCATCTCCCCACCTCCATTCTCAAAACTCCAGCCTTTCTCTGTCTAGCCAGGAAGGGATTCTTCCAGACCCACTGAGCTGAGTCTCCACTATCATCTCACGGTGTTGCCTCGGGTAAGTCACAGGTGTCAAGGGGCCGTGTTTCAGCTCCAACTGAGACCCACTTGCTTCTAGATCTGACCAGGGCCTGACTCTTCCTGGAGCCTTTCAGAATACAAACAGTTGGGTGTGCACTCCAGAAAGTCCCTGGGTCCCCAGTAACCTTGGCATTCACTAAGGAGCCCAGAAGGAGCCTACCTTCCCTGACTACTGTCCCAGCAAGTGGCTGTTAACAGTGGAAGAGCAGATCCCTTTCACATCCTGTGCCCCAATCAGAGCTGTCCTTACACATGCAGCCCAGCACCCAGTGGATTCCTCTCCCTGCTTTTCGACAGGGGCATGTCTGGCCCTGCAGACCCTGCGTAGGCCTTGCACACTTGCAAGTGGCAATTAAGGGGCACTGCTGCTCCTCCCCAGCCCTGCTTGCCAGCCACCTGGCCATCCCCCACCATGCCCCCGTGTTCACTCCCTACCATGCAGGCTTCCTCTGGGACAGCAACCTGCAGCTCCAAGGACTCCAGCACTGTCCAAAGGCCTCCATCCCTTTGCCTGAGCTTATGCTTAATAGCACAGGAAGAGAGAGAAGAGGAGCAAGCCTAGTGGCTGGGGTGGGAAGGCCAGGGCTGCAGCCCACACCATGGGAACAGGCAGAGATCATGATGGCAAGGTCAGTGTGAGCCATGATGCAGATGGATGCCAGTGGGGCTGAAGGTCAGCCCTGCAGAGGCTGGGGCCAGTGTGGTTTTGAACTTGAAGCTCTCTCAGGAAACAGAAATAATCCTGACTGTTGTTGCAACTTTTACAAGCTGTCCCCCTTTGAAACACGATGAACTCAAAAAGAGCGAAACTTCAGAAGCTCAAAACTGCCCAGGTGGCTGCAATGGGGCTCCTGGACCGACGGCAGCTTCACAAACACTACAAAGCAAACAAAATCTTGAGACTCAAAAGACACTTCTCTAAGTACCGAGTAATAGTCTGATCTAGGCTACACAGGGGACTTGGTGAGGTGACTTTCTTGGGAAACACACATGCGCGCACACACCCAACACACCCCAGAGGGCTTGTAATTGGAACTCCTGTCCCTCTTATCCCATCACAGAATAGGAAGGCACTGTCTCAGAGCCTCTGCTGAGTCCCTACTCACTCAGCCCTGTTAGGGCCCCACAGAGAACACAAGGGACCAGCCACTGGACACCCACTGTACCATCTTTGCCCAGTCAGCTCCCAGTGCCCCTCTCCTGTGAACAATGGCCTCTGAAGATGTCCATAGTTGGGCCCCAGAACTTGCAGATCAATCCCTTAACATGGCAAGACTTGGCGGGTGAGATCTTGAGATGGGGGTAACCTTAGATTATCACATGTAACCCCAAGAGTCCTTACCAGAAACTGGGTGACCTGTGTGTTCAGGGAAGCAGGAAAAACAGAGGCTCTAGAAAGAAACCACAATCCAAAGCACCTGGAAGCCTCTCAAAGCTGGGAAGGGACTGGCCATGGCTTACCCTGTAGTCCTAGAAGAGGACACAGCCCCGCTTGTAGCCTGCATCAGCCCAGGGAGGCTGGTGTAGGAGTGCTGCCCTCCAGGAAGGAAATGAGAAACTTACCTTGTTGTAAGTCACTAAGGTCACCTTGGTGGTCAAGGGGAAGGAAGGAGCTGGGGCCATGGAGTCAAGATCAGCCTGAATTCACCACAAGGATGAGTGCTGGTAAGGCTGGAGGTCAGCCTTCCAAAGACCTAGGCTAAGGAGGTTACGGGTCAAAGCACTCTTTGGGATTGAAGTCATTTGTTGCTGCAATGGGTAGAAAACTCACCCAACTCCATGATGCAGGCCCTATCCCACCCCATTCCTTCTCTAAGGCCCTGAAGGGGAACTGGCCCACAAGTTCTAGGAAAACCCAAAGTCTCAAAGCTAAGTTTTCCTGTGAGTCTCCACAAGTGATCTGTCTCAACCACAGGGGTCAAGGTTGCCTGCAGGGTGTGATTCCTGCAACAACAGAGAAACACCAGCCTGCACAGTACCGCCTGGCAATGGTGCCACATGGCAGCAAGGTTGGGAAAAGCTCCAGGGAGAGGGAGCTGTGGCAGGAGTCCTCAGAGATGTGCCCTGGCCTGGCCTGCTCCCCAGGTCTCCCCACCCTCCTCCTCCTCCAGGGAGGAGCGTCCTGACTGAGTGAAGCCAGTCCCAAGCTGTGCTGAGCCCATGGGATTCTTTCCCGTGATCTCCATGCCAAACATACCACAGTGGGCTGCAGTGCTGGGGAGACATGCTGTCTCAGAGGCGCCTTCACAGAGCTATGGGACCAACCCAGGGGCCATGTTATGTCCAGGATGGCCCAGGTTCTCAGAGCCTCAAGTCTGAGACAAGTCCTCTGTGTGGACTGAACTGTTTCCTCCACAATGCATGTGCTGAAGTTCCAATTCCTGGTGCCTCCGAACGTGACTGTATTTGGAGACAAATCCTCTAAAGAGGTGATGAAGTTAAAATGAGACCCTTAGGGTCTCACTGGTGTCCCTCTGAAAAGAGGGAAAAGTATTGGGGACCTGCACCGAGGGCACGCCATGTGAAGAGGTAAGAAACCCGCCACCAGAAAGCCACAGAAAGAGGTTCTAGGAGAAACCAGTCTGCCAGCACCCTGAGCTCCGACCTCCACCTCAGAACCAAGAAAGCAAATAAACGTGGGCTGTGTGGTTTGAATGTGAAATGCCCAACTCACCCCCGTAGTCTCCTGTGCTTGAACTCTTGGTCCCCAGGTGGTGGTGCCGTTTGAGAAAGTTGTGGCGTCTTTAGGAGGTAGAGCCTCATTGGAGGAAGTGGATCACTGAAGGTGGGTCTTAAGGCTTTAGAGTTTGGACCCACTTCCCGTTTTCCTTCTGCTTCCTTAATGTGGACATAATGTGAGGAGCCAGCCACCCTCTCCTGCCACCATAGCCTTCCTGGCTGCCAACATGTCTCCCCCACCATGAGGAACTCTGTCTTCCCCCACCAAAATGGACTCTATCCCTCTGGAACTGTAGCCAAAATAAACCATGTCTCCCTTAGCTGCTTTTGTCAGGGTATTTTGTCACAGAAACAGAAAACTAGCCAAGACACCATGTAAGCTGCCCTCTCTGAGGTACTCTGTTATGATGGCTGGCACTGGCTGCTACACCCTCCTCTCCTTCCTCAGGTTCACCTCCCCTCACCAAGTCCCAGCAGGCTCTACTGCCTAGTGATGAGATGGACCGAGAGGCACCAGGTGTCTCAAACTCACATCCCTGAGGCCCGGGGTCACTTAATCTTAAATTCCTGTGTCTGAAGACAATGCTAGGCCCACTATAAGCTGGACTGGACCTCCTACCCCAACCCTCAGCCACAGCAGGACTCCACAGGGAGTCCCCAGACACAGGTGCAACCCTGGAGTTTTCTTCTGCTGTGAAGATTGAAGCCCATCTCTCTGTGGTGAGACTGTGCACTTAGTGAGAACTGAGGTAACATAGGCAAGTCACAGAACTTCTTTCCCTGGGAGTCCTCCGCACACCCGGGACACCATGGAAGGAAATGGTCAGCAGATGGAGGGCCTACACTCTGTAGGTACCAGTTTTGTGGGTCTGTCTTTAATTATGTTAAATATTAATAAATGTACAGCATCAATGTGACTCATGTATCACACTTTACACAACTAAGGGAGTTGGAGTTTAATACAACCCGGCAGGCAGCTTTGGGGGATACAAAGTGTCTTCAGTACTAGGTCTGTGTTTCGCTTTGGCGTGGAGTGACAGGTTTGACAGCCACCACCCAAAATGCTACCTGTGCTGTCAACAAGGAAGAACTTCAACTGAGCAAAAGCGATGCTGGTGACCTCTGGAGTGAGGCCGCTAGAAAGAAAACTGGGTCTCTGGATGGCCCTGGGTGGCACAAAGGTGGGGGGCTGTGTATATAAAAAGATTGGTGATGAACCAAATAATATTGGAAATAATACCTTCAGTAATACTTCTGTAAGAAGCAGAATTATGAGACACGTTACTCACATGCATAGGAAAAAATCTGTGATCATGGTTGGTGTAGAGTAGCAAAATAGGTACTGAAAATAACAGGCGTACTGGCTGAGAAATTAATCCATAAAGGCATCATGTCTCAAGTGCAGGGCGAAGCCTTGTCACAAGAGAGCTGAGGGGAACCCACTCAGGAAAAGCACCTACACACATGTGAACACATATTCTGTATTCCAAATAAATACACACACACACACACACACACACACACACACACACACACACACACACACTGAAGTGATTTCTCCCCAAAGCATTCTTGTGTTCAGGCCAGATATTCCCTGCTGTGCCAAGTGCTGGTTGTGAGGACGGGGTGGGGGGAACTGTCCCTGCACTTGGACTTCAGGACACACAGCCCCTTTAGTAGCAGAAGCAGCCCAGGCTGTACCAGGGCCCAGATCTCTCCAAACCTTCCAAGGGGCTGAGTGTCTCATATCTGACGGCAGAGTGGGCAGCAGCAGATCTTGCATAGCCTAGTCATTGCACATCCTCATGCCACCGAAGCCCAGTTTGTCTCACACATGCAAGTGACAGTTGGGTACGTAGTGTGTGCACTTTCTGACACTGGTTGACCAGCCTGACCTGAGAACACAGGCTCACAGGGAGCATCCTTCAGCCCCATGGGCTTAAGCGGTCTCTCTGGTCTTTCCCAGGACCTTCCAAGAAATGACAAGACCTTCAGCTCATCCACTACAAACCAAGCTGCTCAAAAGCTTGGACAGCTCCACAAAGAACACAACTCCTAGCAATCTCCTTTCTAAGTCATCACATACCACAGACAGCCCAAACTGAGTCTGTGAGTTGTGTTTCTATATGGGCATAGAAGTTTGGCCATACGTGATGGAGAATGTGAAGAAAAGAGTATTCAAACAAGAAGGCAGAGCCAAAATAACAATTTAGGCATCCTCGAGTTCTCCGGTGACCCTAAAGGCTTGATGGAGGCTCCACTTACTTTTTTTCCAAGTGTTCAATTCCTTGAGGCTGCTCTATTCTGGCATTAACAGCAAAAAATTCCTTTCCAATTAATTATAAACTGAATTTCTTCATGTCTGAAGAGGCAGAAAAGAGAGCTAGGGCCAGTCAAAGGCAGGAAGCAGTCTGTTTCAAATGTGTTCCTTTTCTGTTAAACATAAATAAAGTCACCAGGGGCGGAACAGGAGGTCAGAGATGGATGTGCTGCCAAAAGCCAAGTTCTTCTTCTCTTGCACACGCTGAAACGAACAGAGCTTATTTCTGATGTCATATGTTGTTGAAGAGTTGACTTGGGAACAAGAATAAAAATGAATGAGGCTTGATCCTCTAAGAGGCTCTGTTCTCTGCCCAGATGAGATTAGGAATCTATGCAAAGTGTGCTGGAAAATAACATGTGGTGTGGTTCTGGTGAGCCCGGGGCATGACCTCTAGTGAGCTTGGGCTTATTCAGACTCCAGAGTTCTCCAACCCCATACCCAAGTAGATACTCCAGGAGGCAGGAGGACAGGGCTGGGCACTCTGGGAACAGGCAGAATTCTGGCCCTGGAGCACTTTCCAAGGACTCCAATGGAGGAGCTCAGCCAGGGTCAGGTACAGAGCTGCTGAACACTGCAAGAGAAACTCCTAAATGGTTCCAATTAACAGGTGTCTCAGGAGGAGAAGACAGGGGTCCTGGGGATTTTCTTCACGCTGTCAGTGTTTCTCCACCAAGAGCCTTTTAAGTCATGGTAATGAGAAGTCAGTGGGCCAGGTGCCTGCAGAGGTATCTCTGCTCTCATGGTGTCTTCCAGGCAAAAGCTTCATCATCCAGCACCTGAGCCAGCCTGGTATTAAAAGGTCCATAGAAGTCCTGCAGAATCTTCTGGGTGACTGGCCACATGGGCCCCAGACTGCGATCCTCGGGGCGCCGTGTGTTGGATGCGGGACTCTTTGTCATCAAAGCTTCTTGTTTCTCACTTAGAGGCCCTGGAATGAGAGGAAAATGATCATGTAAGACTGCGGGCGTGGTAGGAGGTAAAGGGGACTTTCCAAGAGTTCCCAGCTATGCTTTGTGCTGAGACAGGACTTCCCTTTAAGAAGAAATGTGTTGGGGATTCAAGTCTGGTTGGATTCACTTGGAGGAGTCAAGGAACGTAGATGCATGTGAAATTGGAAAGAAATGCTGAAGCCCAGTCTCATGGCTGCTCTCAGGGGCAAGCACTGTGGGGGCCCTCACCTTGGGCCTCCTCAGGAGTTCAGCTACCCTGTCCTACAAGGCAACTACATACAGGGCCTTAGGGGTTTGTTTTTCTTTTCCTTCAAGCAGCTACCTGGTGTTCTGACATCACCATTTCCACTTTGAGTTCCTGAGTGGTGCAAAGGGCCCCAGCCTGGGTGAATCCCAGGGTACTCTATCTGCGTCTTGTTGAGACGGAGCCATGAGCTAGAGACCCCAGTGACTGCACCTCAGCTTACAGCAATTACATCGGAAAAGAGAAGCCCCAGGGCAGGGGCTGCAGCTGAGGCTGCACTTCCCAATCTTCTGAACGACCCACCAGCTGCTCCCTGGCTTAACCCATCTCTGGACCCCAGGCTTTCAGGACCTGGCCAAAGTCATTAGTCCTACAGTGATGCAAAACAGAAAAACAGCCTTATGGACCTGTCCCTCTTAAGAACAAAAGGCAACCTCAATGCAACAGAGTCTACAGGTGACCAAGTCAAAGAAAAATGCTTGCAGTCTCAGGTGGGAAAGAGTCCCCACACTCCAGCCCATTACTGGCTCTCCAAAACAAAAAGAAAATTAACTGGGTAAAGGTCCTGGGTCCCAAAGGTGAACAGATACAGTTCAAGAAATGTTCAATTAACAAAATTCCGATCATTAGACAGGACTGTAGTAGTGTCCTGTGAGGAAAAGTGGCTTGTTTGACCTTTGTAACCGCTATAGCTGTCCTCGAGTGACTGTCTCACCTCTGCCAGCGAGCAGCATGGCTCCAGGCTTGGAGCTGGGATTCTCAGGCTGAAGGCAGGTTGTCTCTCCCCAGAGCCCCAGCCAGCAGCCAAAATCCAGCCATGAGGCTCTGACTTCAGGAATTTCCCCAGCAGCATCTGACATGAGGTAATGGCCAGTCCCCTCCTCAATACCCACATCCCTGTAGGACTGTCCCAGCCACCCACCATGACCTTCAGCTGCTTCAAAACTCTAACCATAGTCCTTTTCCTTCCATAAAGCTTCGAAATCCTTCAGCTGTTAGGGTCCTTAGTCATCACAGTAGGCCTGCTGTGACAGGACCTACCTTCCCCCACAGCAGGCTACCAGTCACTCAGTGAGTTGAGCTGGGGCCTCCTCTCCCACTACTAGGCTAAAGGACCCCAGAGGAGCCCCTCCTCCTCCTCAGAGCACCCCTCACCAACCCCTACACAATGCCCCATGTGCAGCTGACAGGAGATATACAGGAGCTAATGTGGCCTCCCTTCAGGAGTTCCTGAGCCTCACACAGCCCATCTCTGCCCAGTTTACACTTGATCTAGAGATAGAGAGCTTCTACAAATCCCACATACCATGTGACTAGGGAGATGGCTCAGTGGGTAAAGTGCTTGCTGGGCAAGCATGAGGACCTGAGCTTGGATCCCTGGGACTCACTTTAAAAAGCTGGGTGTGGTACTGTGTGCTTATAATTCCAGCACTGGGAAGATGGAGACAGGCAGATTCTGCGACTCCCTGGCCAATCATTCTAGCCCAAATAGTAAGTTCCAGGTTCAATGAGAAACCCTTTCTCAAAAAATAATATGAAGATTGATTAAGTAAGACACTCAATGTTAACCTCCAGCTTTTGCAGGCACATGTGCATGTGTGCACGTGCACACGCGCGCACACACACACACACACACACACACACACACACACACACAAAGAGCATGACACATGACACATACCCAGGTTCAGGAACTGGAAGACCCTGTGCATGGTGGACTTGACATTGGATGCATGGTCTTCTAGACGCAGAATGAGGAACTGCTCCTTACTAAAAACAGTGAGCCAATCCAGAAGGTACACAGCATACAGCCCAACCTGGAGCCTCACCTAGATGAAGGAGAAGGGTGTTACTGAGGGAGACACTTCCACAACCCAGGGAGGCACTTCTCCAAAAGGATTCCAAACATTCCACCATAGAGCAATGCAGAGCCATCTCAGCAAACAATAATCTTCTCAAGTCACATTTTAACAAATCCATTCTTAGGACTTCACAAGCTCTGTGCCACATAAGCAAAGAATCCCTACACTTAGGGCTGCATGTAATCCTCACAACAGCCCCCTGGGTGGCTCTGCCTCTAAGCCACAGGTAAGGGCTGAAGAAGTCAAGGACACACACATTCTTTGCAAGACATGGCTGTCTCCCAGCTGTTAGTCACAACAATCAATCTGGAACACCGCAAAGACACCCCAGATGCCACAGAACACCCACGGCCATGGAAGTGTGTGAACAACAGCAGGATGTAAGCACCTGAGACAGAACCAGTGGGGTCGGCCCTTTCTCCTTCCCACCTACTCATCCCGAGAGCCTTCTTTCCCTTCTCTTGTGTCAAACTGAAAACCGGGGCGTGGAGAACTATGAAGGCGACCGCCAAGCCCCTGGAACGCACCGGCCAACAGGCACAGTTTGATTTGCCTGAGGCTTTAGCCCTAGTAAGAACCCTGGTCATTAATACTTGGGGTGGCTGTACGCCACAGTGTGTGTGTGTGTGTGTGTGTGTGTGTGTGTGTGTGTGTGTGTGTGTGATGTAGTCACGTGTCTATCATGGCTGAGAGGTGCTGGCACCAGGTTAACTCTGAGGGGAGAAGGGAACTGGGGGCTCTGCCTCGTGCCCATCTTCCCTTGGTTTCTGTGAATCTTCCCTGTTCCCTGTCACCAGTCATGGGCATAGTCACAGCAGCCTTCGGTGTGTCTTATGAAGCTTCCTCTAACAATGAACTTGAGGATGGTTGGTGACTTTCCCCTCGAACTCACAGCCGACTTCAAAAGTGGGAACATTAGGGAAGTCTCTCTCACCATCTCCCATCTCCCTTTGCCCCCCACCCCCATCCTCAACACCTACCAGACACTCAGAACTCCTGGCTGGAATTGTCATCTCTCGTCTCTGTACTCCTGTCCCTCCACTTACCACCAGCATGAGTCTTGCAAAGCAATGAGCTGGCCACAGGTGGGCTGGCTCAGAGCCCTGGGATCCACAAGGAAAGTCCTGGAGCTGCCTGAACTTCTAGCTCATTCTTGCCCCACAGATTCTCTCAGCCCAGGGTCCTCCACAGGGCCCTCATTTCTTGAGGCAGACACCCTTCCATCATTCTTCCTGTCTAACTTGACTTGAGCTTCATGGGAACAGGGACTGGGGCTTTGCCCTCGATCCACCATGCACAAAGCCTTGTGCCAGTGCTCAGTGTGGCTCTGGTGGAATTGCAGAGCGCATTAACCAACACGATGCGACATTTGACAGAACACGTGCAGGCGCTAACCAGCTCTGTCTCTCACTGTTCTTCATTATTTCTCTAATGGCACAGGAAGACGGAAAGGAAGAGAAACAAAGGGATGTACCAACTGTCTCCAGTCCATCCGCTGTCCCTTCTCACGTCGGTTCTACCTCAAACATGACAAGTTCCTCAAACTGGGAGGAAGCTACAGAGAACATGAGTGTGTGCCAGTCTCAACAACACGTATCCACATAGCCTGCAACACAGAACGGGGGTGAGCATGTCACGCTAAGTTGGGGCCTCATGGGCTTTTCCCATCTCACTCTGGCCAGCTCACAGGCTACCTTGCCTCACAAGGTTCCTCTCCTGAGAACTTTCCAGAAGGAAAGGAGATGGTGACAGTGGCAGGACACTGTAACCTGTCCCTGCAGCTGCCCTGGTGACAGAACATCCTCTGAACCTATCTTGATTAGAGCCTACTGTCGCCCCTGGGACAGAGACCTGCAGAATCCTGACTGTAGTGGGCCCTCTGCAGGAGCAGGGCTGGTCCAGGGAGGAGAACATGGGCTCCCCAGATGTGCACTAGCTCCCAGGTGAGAGCATCCCACCCACTGGCTCCACAGCCCCATTACTCAACTCCTCCCAAAAGAGCCAGGAAGAACTCTGGGCCCCTGCTCCTGTGCTCACAGCATGCCACTGCAATTGGGAACCACGAAGACACCCTCAAGACAGCCCTACACAGAGCCCCGTTTTCCTCACCTTTGTCCAGTACATTCAAAATAGAATGAAAAACAAAAGAGAACCCACGTAGAGAGGATATTTAGGGCAAGGTCCCAATACATTTAAAATTAGAAAACTCCAAAGCTGAGGGAAGTCTGTGAGGTTACAGATGCCACCTGACTCACTGACAGAGAACCAGAGGCCAGGAGAGCTGGAGTCTCTCTCTGCCTGGGGTCAACAGCTGACAAAGTCAAGTTGTGAGATCAGGTGCCTCATGCATGTGAGTCTTATTCCACCACAGAGAAGCCCTAATGAAGACTGAGCACCTCAGAGCTCCATAGAGCATGTCAGAAAGTCCCAGGAAGTACCTCAGGGGAGCCTGGGGAGCACCTCAGGGGGCTATGGGGCAGCTCGGGACCACCTTGGGGGAGACTGGGGAGCATCCCAGAGGGCCAGGGAGCACTTTAGGAGACCCCCCCCGAAGGAGCACTTCAGGCGGGCCCAGGGAGCACTTTGGGACAGTCTGGGGAGCACTAGGGGCCTCCTCATGGGAATATCCAAGAACACCTCAGGTAGGCCTGGGAAGCAAGTCAGGGGAGACTAGGGAGCACCTCAAGAGGGGACCAAGGAACACTTCAGGGGATTCCAGGAAATACCCCCAGGAGGCCCCAAGGAACAACTTCAGGGAGAGCCTAGGGAGCACCTCAGGGAGAGCCCAGAGAGCACCTCAGGGGAGTGTGGGGAACGCTAGGGACCACTTAATGGGAACAGTGTTGAACTGAACCTAGTCAGAGGCTGAAGTTCATTTCAGGCAGGTACCACTCCAATCCTCACTGTTCCCCACTAGGGATTTCGGGTGGCACTCCTCACCAGCCTCCCGACTCTTTCCCAAACTCCCACTCAGTCATTCATCTATTCGCTCATTCAGCAAATAATCTGAGTGCACACCGTGTGCAGGTAGCCTTGCTAGGCACTACAGACGGGATGCCACAGAGCAGACAGGGTCCTGACTGCACAGTGCCTGCCATGTGGTGGAAACACAGATAAATTGACAAAAACCAGACATCTGTCAACACAGAGCCCAGTGGTTCCCAGACCTGTGCACTCACACACTCATGGCAGACTGGTGTCCGCACCTGCACCCTCCTGCACTATCTGCTTCATGACAAGTAGGAAGGGCAGAGAGCTTGCATTTCTTACCAGCTCTCAGGGGTCTTACCTTGTGAGCCCTGCTCAGAGACTTAAAGAGGAACGGTGTGGATGTGACACAGTGATGGGGAAGGAAGGACTGTGGAGAGGGGAGGAGGCCCTCAGGCAGTCAAGCAGAAAGCAGCGAAGCCCTAAGAGGGTACATACGGCCAGCTGTGGTGGGCACACCTGCAATCCCAGATTGGGGAGACTGAGCTATGACTCCCATGCAGCCCCCAGTAGCTCTGCTGGGTCAGCAGCAAAAGGGAACTTTCTTCTCATCGCAGAAGTAAAAAACCACCTCCAAAAAGAGGGTCCCCACAATCCCTGACATGTTTCGTCTTCTGGGCAGAGTACCTCCAAAGCCTGAAGGAAAGGTTAAAGGGCAGCTGGCTGGGCTTCAGGAGCCCTGTCCATTGCCGTGCCCCGAGAGCTCCCCCTTGAACAGGTCCCAGGCTATGGTGCTGTCATCTCGGGCAAGTCACAAATGGAACTTAGAGCCCATGCTTCCCGCTGGTTCAGAACTGCTTTTAAGAACAAGGAACAGAGGATGGGAACAACTTGAGTTTCAAAAGCAACCAGACCCAGACACCTGTTATTAGCTGCTGGTGAGACCAGACCTTCAGTGAGCCTCATGTCCCCTTCTGTAAAATGGAGAGACTTCAGGGGTCTGTGAGGACCGGAATTCTATAAAAGGTGTCCAGTTAGCAACAAACAAGAGCTAGTCACTTCCTGTCCTTAATGGCTGTACAAACTTCTTATCATGGTATCTCCAGTACCCCCAGAGGTGGAAAGAATCATGTGGCAGCCCATGTTCACAGGGGAGTGTAGACCGGAAGAGGAGCGGAAGCAGAACAGGGCCGGCCCTCCCTTTTCTGTGGGAGGAAGTGGTTGCGGAAACTCTGTCTCCAAAAAACCTATTTAGAGACAGCCAGAAGTGCATCTCGCTCTCTTGGCCCAGGCACTGCCCTTCCTATGACAAGCTCCTCGGGGTATAGGAATGACCACCACATACAGATCTGCTTATATCAGACACCCTTCTACAGGGAGCAACTCAATGCACAGCTATGAGACTGCACTATCCCTGCGTCAGGAGTCCCACAGCCCTGTCTCTACCCAAGACACCTAGCCCCCTTCGGCTGATATGAGCCCATATTTGTCCCTCCCTCTCTGGAGTCTTTCTTAGGAAATCTGAAGAGAGAACTCAGTGGTGACTGCTTAGGGGAGCGTGTTCCAGCCCCTTCCAGAAACCACACTAGCCAGACATTTCACCTCTCACTGTTGGTCTGTGGGCAGTGGCGTGGCCGGCCCTGCCTCCCTCTGTCCCTGTCTTCCCATCTATCTGCGAGCCTTCTGTTGAAGAGTCCCACACCATCACAAACCATAAGGCCCAGGAATGGGAGGCACACTGAGGGAAGGCATCCTGGCTCCAGGCACACATGAAGTCTCTCCCTACTCACACCTGCCTTCGCTTCTCTTGCACTCCAGAGCCCGCCACAGGGCCAGGGCACAGCAGCAATGAATAGACTGCTGGAGACACGCTGGGGCCTGCAGACAGCTGGGTGTATGGGTTCAATGCCTAGATTGTGGGCCTCATATCCCCCATTAGTGACTGTGGCTGACTGCAGAAGGCAGCCTGTCCCAGCCTCAGTATCCCCAACTGCAAACTATAAGCCCTGGCCATGGGAGGCCTGTATCACAAGGCACAGCCCCAGGCTGGTGTGTAGCCTCCACTAACTGAGCCCTTCACTTTCCAGCCCCACAGTGGCACTTTCAGTCTTACGGGTGGGCTCCACTTGGTGTGCCAGGGCCCAGTACCATACATTCATGAATGCAGCCACATGAGAAAGAACCACCAATCTCTAATTCTTGCAACAGTCTGGCAGTTTTATGGTGAAGCAGTTGAATTTCAAAGACGCTAAGACACCTGTGCAGAGCTACCCAATCAGGAAACAGCAGAGCCGGGGGAGTGAACCCACACTGCCTGCTTCCAAAGCCCATGCCTGCCTATCTGAAAATGTAGTTATCAGATCAGAGTTGATCTTCCTTACCAAACTACAAGGTCTGTAGGAAGGCAGGCCAGAGTCCTGCCTGCTGGCTCTATGTCCTGACTTTAGATAAGATGGCCTGAGTGGCCAGGCAAAGGGATTGCAGTCTTGTCCCAGAGCTCCAGTGATCTAGGAGGCCTCCAAACCTCTGCAGCAGTCTGTGCATGCCTCACGTGTGACATCGTGGGGCAGGGGAGCAGCTTGGGCCTCGCCACAAAAGGCTCCCTGCTACAAAAGCCCCTCTGAAGAAACACTTAGACCCCGGGAGCCCAGAGTGCAGAAAGGACCTCAGCTAAAGGTGTTCAAACACTTCCAGCAACTGCTTTTGCATAAGGCTGAAACTTAGGATATATGCCTTAAGAGAAAACACAGAACAGAGAGAACCATTTGTAATGAAGGCCTTGTTGGGGCAGTCTAAGCCACTTGCATCTAATTCTGAAAACCAACAGAACACTCCACGCTACAGAGATGCTTTGCAGACATCCTGAGAGCTTGGGAGTCCTTCTGTCTACTGAGTCCAATTGCAGACTGTGCTTTCGGAGCCTCACTAAATGGCAGTTTCCTAAGTGTACCCTGGTTCTCTAATAGAAGGAGGAGATGCCTGGTGTAGGACGGCTGGGTATCATGATCAGCAAGGAAGGAAACAGGATGCTGGCTAGAAAGACCCATCTGTTTTTACAGCTCCCACAGACAGGAATATTTGTTTCCACATTAGCCACTGTTCAGAGGCGGCTCGGCATCATTTGCACATTAAAACACTTCTCTCCATGTCTCTGCACTAAAATCCCGCTCCACAATGCTCCCTGCACATAATAGCATCAAAGTGGTCTGCTCTGCTCGGCACAAGCTGGCTTGGTGAATACGCACCGGCATGGCGTTGTTCAGGGTGTTGTTGTAGACGCAGGCGCGGAGTGAATAATCCAGCATGCAATTTTCAAACAGCTGCAGAGCCTCCGTCACTTTTTCATGGAAGTCATCTGCAGATTTATTTGAACTTGCAAAGTAGAGATAGTCTGAGTACAACCTGTGAATAAAATAAATGAATAATTTTACCATCCAAAAATGTGAAATCACGCCATTTGAGTGACAATGGAAATCAGTGTGCGATGACATTATCTGGTTTAGCTAGTTCATTAAAACACACCCATTTCTCTTCTCCATCTTCCAGATGAGCCCCCTCCCTGTTTCCCTCTTGCTCCCACTCCTAACACACCATCCACCCATCCCACTCAGACACGTCTCCATCAGCCCCAAACAACCACCAGTGCTCGCTTTTGTGGGAGTGTTGTCTTTCTTTTTAAAAAAAACTGTTTTATTATTAGTGTGGGCACAAGTGTGGAGGTCAGAGGACAACTTGGTGGAGTCAGCTCTCTCCTTCCACCTTTATGTGGGTTCCAGAGATCAAACTCAGGTCTATCAGGCTTGCATGGCAAGCACTTTTACCTGCTGAGCCATCACATCACCCACTGCTTTTTTTTTTACACACATTTATTTATTGTCTATGTATTGGTACATGCATGTGGGCATGTGTGCATGCCACAGTGCACATGTGGCGGTCAGAGGACAACTTGAAGTACTGGTTCTCTCTTTCTACCATGTGGATCCTGGGGAATGAACTAGGGTTGTCAGGCTTGGCAGAAAGTGCCTTTACCCACTGACCATCTTGCGCCCGCCCCATCCCACCCTACCCCACCCCACCCCCACTTTTATTTATTCCTTCTAGTTAGCTGACTAAGGCTCTGTTTCCACAACCAGCTTTCAAAGATGATTCAACAGTAAAGAGAAGCCATGAAAGTGTTCTGAACCTTTCCTATTCCCTTCCCTTGGCGGGAACTAACCCAGGGCATCTTCCATCTATTCAGCATTACAATCTGAGGGCAAGTCCTGGCTTTTCCCACAGATGTTCCAAATATCTAAAAATATATTCAAAGTTGGACATGGTGGCTCATATCTATAATCTTACCACTCAGGAGGTTGAAGCAGGAGGATCTCTCAAAGTTCAAGGCCAGTCTGTACTACATAGCAAGTTTCTAGGCCAATCTGAGCTACAATGTGAGATCCTGTCTCAAAAACAGTGTTAAAGCACCCACACATGGAAACACCTGCAGATTGTGTGTCCACACGTAGACTCAGATGTGGGATTTGTTCACAAAGACACCACATACATGCCTGTAATCACATTTTCCATAGAAGTAGGTGGTCTTCCTTGACTTTCAGTGGCCCACATTATGTTTACATCATTCCATTTTAGCAAAAATCTTGCTGTTAACAAGAAAATTTATGAAGCCGGGTATGGTGGTGCAGGCCTGTAATCCCAGAACTCGGGAGGCTGAGGAAGGAAGATCATGAGTTCAAGGACAACCTGAACTATATAGTGAGTTCAAGGCCAGTTTTGACTACATGTTGAGATCCTAGAGAGGATGAAGAGAAAAAACAGGAGGGGATTGAAGAAGAAAGCAGGGGTGGGGACAGGAGGGAAGAAATTTATGGGAGACCCTCTCTCTAGGTCTTCCCAAAAGACCAGACCAAACCAGAATGCACTCTTGCCCTAGGCCCTAGTAATCAAACTGAACTTAGAAAAGGACTAGTTTTCTACAATACCGGAGAGTCCACAGCAACCAATCAAACAGGTCCATCAGCCTTGGCTATGTGATAACACACTTAACCCATAAAAGGAAACAACCTGCCTCTTGCTCCCAGTTTCTGCTTCTGCCTATAATGACCAACTCCTCTACTCGGCTCATCAGAGCATCTTTTACAAGATTAAAATGCTTCCTGATTCATGAATTGTGCTCACAATAGCCAGTTAGATCCTCCAATTAAATGTTGAAATTTTGGTTGTAGACACTGCTAGGCTGTCTTACAATCCCCTCACTCCCAAATTCTGACTACTCTCTGATCTGATGGGGTTCCTTCTAGCCCAGTAGACTTCGAGTCACCTGGCCTGCCTTCAGGAGGAATTCTTTTAGGGTGGCTTAGCCAGAATCCTCCTTTACCCTTGAAGTATCCCATGAGTAATTTTCCATCCCTAGTCGCCTGGCTCCTTGGCTGTAAAATCCCATGGCTTCTTGCTGTATTGCGAGCTGAGCCCAATCTCTTTCCTCTACAACAAAACCCGGCACAATAGTCCTATACCTCCAGCAAGAGCCGGAAATGAAGCCTGTTTGAATGTTTCAGCAGCTGTCAGGGTAAGTTTTTCATTTGCAGAACTTCTGGGATGTTTCCAATTATTTTTCCTCCAGTTCTGCCTACAAAGAAGGTCAGAATTTCTTGCTTTTGGCTTTCAAGAATTCCCCTTGCTTCCTTTTTCCAGATGTTTCTCCCTTCTCTCTTCATGTGCACACCTGCCCATGCCCTCACAGCTCCATAAGACACCCTTCATACACACAAAAACCCCAACTGCACCTCCTGATGTGGGTGAAGCTGGGCCGGTACCGGAAGTGGCACTTGTGGCGCACTGTCCTCCGTACTCTATTCCTCTTCGTCCTCAGCTTGGGTCTCTCCTTCCAGTGAAAGTGAAGTGCGTTTTCCCATGTATTACATCTCTAGGGGTCCTCCAAGCTACACTGAGAATCACTCCTGTGCTTCTGCCTCAGCTCAGCCACATGCATCCTGCAGAAGCCATGGCCTTCTGCCAGGTCTGCTGCAGGGTACGTTCTATGATGACATCACATCATCCCCACACATGTCCTCTTATTCACCTCAACCCCCACCTGACACAAGGTGTTTGGGACTTGAGTGCCCTTGAGTGTTCGTCCTCAACCAAGCTCCACGGAAGATTCCGCATGTCTATCTTGGGATCTATGGAACGTACTCACAGGCTATCTAAGATGAACATACAGGTGGGAATACAGTGCCTTGTCTCTCAGCTTGGCCAGTCAAATGCCCCAAAGTGACTGGCTGTGGGCCAGCAAGATGCTCAGTGGGCAGGTGCCTGCCACCAAGTCTAACGACCCGAGCTCTATCTCCAAGATGCCCAAGGAGATGGAAGGAAAGAAATGACTCTTCGAAGTTGTCCTCTGATCTCTACACATGTGCCTTGGCATGTACACACACACACACACACACACACACACACACACACACACACACACAAATGACTTGCCTCAAGACACACCCATGAAAGACAGTCATGCCATGTGTGATCCCCAGAGTTCACAGATCCACCCACATTAGTCTGTCCTGGTGTCGTCAACATCAGCTGGGCTATTCCATCCCTCTTCAAAACCAGGACATGCAGAAGACTGAAACAAACCCCCGTCACTACACGCCACTCTGACACAGCTTGAAGAACCAAAGGTTCATGGATAAATGACAAAACTAGATTTGCATGGACCTCAGCACACAGTTCAGTTGCAATAGCTGAGGGACCCCATGTGGAAATCTGTCCTGCCTCACCTGTATCCTACTAGCCCTGTCAATCAACAATATGGCTCATCCCAAGAAACTACGCCAAAGAAACAACAGCTACTTCTGAAACATGCCAGACCCTCCATTTAACCCTTACCAGCCCAGGGTTCTTACCAACACAAGGACTGCCCAGCTTGCAGAATGGAACCAGATTTCTAGCACATAAACTCCCTCAGAAAAACACAAGCACTGGCCAAGGCTGCCTTCTCACATTTTTCCTTGAGGTCATCACAATTCTTATAGATATTTGATTCACAAATAAAGTAAGAGTAACAAAAGCCTGTCTCAGTTTTCCATATCAAGTTAGAAAGTCTGATTTCATGCAATTCTTCAGATACAGAGAAGTAATCCCTGGAGGGAAAGTAGGATGAGTCCAGCGTCCCATCCAGGCACCTGCATCCCACCCAGGTGGGGTTTGGATCTGCACAAATCTGTACCAGAAGACACTTTTTTTAACTTTTTTTGTTTTATTTTTATGTGTGTGTATGTATTGCATGCATGTATACAAGTGCTCCCGTGTCATGCAATGCTCATGGAGGACAGAAGAGGGTGTCGATTCCCGGGAACTAGAGTTATAGATGGTTGTTAACTGTCGTGTGCATTCTGGGATTCGAACCTGGGTCTTCTGCAAGACAGCTAGTGCTCTTAACCACTAAGACATCTCTCTAGCCCCCATGACCTCACTTTCTATAAATCATGCACACAATCTCTTAGCCTTCTAAATCAGTGGGGTGGGTCTCTTCAGTGGCAAGGTGTGAGGAGACTTCCAAGGTTCCTTAGTCACTTCCAGATTCCTTGGGTCTGGCTACAGCTCAGGTGGGCTTCAGGATTCGCCAGATGCTGTCCCTCACTTGTACCCACACTGGGGGTCTTCAAAACCCTGCTTGATTTTCAGACATCTTCAGCAAGTACTTGACTCACCCTGGCAAATGGCCACCACTGTCCATCTGGATTCTATAGTTGGTTAAATAGTGTCCCACCCCCCACCCCCATTATGTCCAGATCCTGCTACCTGTGACAGTAAGCTTATTGGGCAACAGCAAATATCTGAATAAGTAATTGAGGTGAAGATCTAGATATGCAGTCACCCTGGACTTAGACTGAATTTCACCTCAACCTGATGATAGGTGCCCTTATAAAAAGAGGACTCAGACACATAAGTCCAGAAGTCCATCCAGGCACCTGCATCCCACCCAGGTGAGGCTGTGGATCTGCACAAATCTTTACCAGGAGAATCTTTACCAGGAGACAGACCTGTGACATCACTCAGGAGAACACCATATGGAGAAAGAGGCAGAGACTAGACTCAGGCAGCTAATTACAGAACACCAGAGATTGCCAAAAACCATCAGAAACTGCACACTGGAGCCTGGCAGAGGACAGATTCAGATCAGTGGAGGGTACCAACCGATGATATCCTGGTTTCTGACTTCTGGCCTTCACATTGAGAGAAGAAAAAAAAAGCCTGTTGCTTTAAGAAACTGAGTGTGGGACAATTTATTATCAACCTAGAAATGTGATGCAGACTTTAACCCAAATTCCAAGGAAGACTGAGGGTTCTTTTGGTCAAGGCTGCTCCCACCGGAGACCCTGAAGAAGCACACTAAGCACAGA